AGTCAAATAAACTGCTGTCAGAATCAATACGGTTTTCGATCCTCTCGCTCTACGGCCGACTTGCTAACTGCTGTAACTGAAAGATTTTATCGTGCATTAGATGGAGGCGGTGAGGCTAGGGCTATTGCTCTCGACATATCTAAGGCTTTCGAAAAAGTTTGGCATGCTGGTTTTCTCCATAAGCTTGCTTCATATGGTGTTTCTGGGAAAGTTTTTGAGATTATCAAATCATTTCTTTCTGACCGGTTTATTAAAGTCATCCTTGAAGGCCAACACTCTTCTTTATTTCCAGTAACTTCTGGGGTTCCCCAAGGTTCCATCCTGGGCCCTGTTTTGTTTCTTATCTACATAAACGATCTTCCTGACAACCTTTCATCTAAAGTAGCTCTTTTTGCTGATGACTCAACTTTATACTCCTGTCTTGACAAAAAGTCTTCTCTTTTCGATCGCCTAGAACAAGCAGCTGATCTTGAATCTGATCTCACTTCAGTAATAGATTGGGGTTCACAGTGGCTTGTGAATTTCAACTCTAAAAAAACCCAGTTGCTTACTGCAAACAACTACCGTAATATGGTCAACATTCCTATATTAATGAATGGCAACATTCCTATATTAATGAATGGTTTTTTATTCGTTTTGAGAACATTTAAGTTTAAAAAAATTTTTGCTTTACGGACATACATGGAAACATAAAAAACTTGAATGTTCTCAAAACATCTTTGTGCGAAAGAATAAAAAGAATATTTGCGAACACTAAAAACCCGCCAAATTAACGAACAAACTAATTCTATTGGTTCAAAAAATACGCTGTTTAAGCGAAATAAAGTTCTAGAGTATTCTGTTAAAATGTTTTAAAAAATTGTATTATACACGATTTGTTACGTTTTGAGATTTCTAGCATTGTTTTAAGAATATATATTATTTGTTTACGAAAATAAATGTTTTAAATATAATTGATTAAATTGTTAAAATTTTAAAAGTTTATTATAAATCATAGATTTTATTAGTATATTCTTATTTTTTATTTTTAAAGAGATTGTATTCTTTATGAAAATGTAATTTTGTGTATTTGTTTTTTATCGTAATGTATCTTTTAAAGCAATTTTTATGATTTAAACAAAGACTTACAAAAATAATTGCGTTTTCAATGAAGTTATAATCGTTAAAGTTAATAAAACTAATTATGTAACAAACATATAAGTAGTTTCTGGTTACTAAACACAAAAAACGCATACAAAGTAACTCGCGGATGAACAAGCATCGCGCCTGAGGTCACGACAGAACACAAATATATATAGCAAATAATTAGATATAAAGAAAAGTTTCTAGATATTGGTTTACTTACTCTAATTATTTTCGCTTAAGTTGCCATTCTTAAAACTCGTTATACTTTTTTCTGCTTTAAATACTAATTAAATATAAAAAGCCCACTCACTAAACATCATCAACGATATTGCGAAGCAGTTTCGCTTCCTGGTCATTAAGTATTTTTAACCTTTTTAGTTGATTTCAATCTTGATTATTTAATTCCTATAGTAATTCAATGATTTAATTATTTCATTTGTTTATCTTACTAAGAAGAATTGCTTCAAATATGTTAAACTTTTCAAACTACGCGAAACATAAAATAGGTATTAAAAAAATTAACTTTTTTATTTATAAAATAGTTTAGCTTAAGTAAAACTAAAACTTGCAAACTTAATTAAATAAAAAATATTTATTTCCTTTTTAAACAATCGTAAGTTGTTACTTTATATAAAAAACATCGCTTAATTTTATTTTTTTTGTAATTGTCTCTCATCGGTCCAATTAATCTTGGTCGCTTATTTTTTTTTTGCTTTTTAAAATGTTCTCAAAACGACTAAAAATCTGGCCAGCTTTTCGCAACTAAATATTATTTACGTGGTCAGCAATCGAGAGCGATCGCTCCCGTTTCTCGACCAAGCCTGGATTATCGCTTACTACTGACCTTTCATGGAAACCATATATACAACCGATTGCTAAATTAGCTTCTGCTAAGGTTGCTTCTCTTTATCGTGCTCGCCATTTCCTTACTTCTGATTCCATTCTCTACCTCTACAAATCTCTTATTTGTCCCTGTATGGAATACTGTTGTCATATTTGGGCTGGTTCTTCTAACGATTCACTTTCTCTTCTTGACAAGGTCCAAAAACGCATTGTAAATGTTGTTGGACCTGGACTATCTGCTTAGGTTGAACCTCTTTCCCATCGTCATAAAGTTGCATCTCTTTCTCTTTTCTACAGATATTATCATGGTCACTGCTCAAAGGAGTTATCATCTCTAGTTCCATCAACTAAAATTCATTCTCGTTTTACTCGTCATTCAGCTAAGTCTCATTCGTTTACTGTATCTGTCCCTGCATGCTCTAAAAACTTTTATTCATCTAGTTTTTTTCCCCGCACTTCAATCCTTTGGAACTCTCTCCCATCTTCATGTTTTCCTGACTCATACAACCTTCAACTTTTCAAGTCTTCTGTCAACCGTTTCCTTGCTCTATAACTCTGTTTTTTTTTTCCTAGTAACTCCCAACTTAATAGTGGTTGCTTGCAGCCTTGTTGGGAGTGAATGCAAATAAAAAAAAATAAAAAAATTACACAGGCATACAAATTAGTTTACAAATAATTATAATTAAATTAAATAATCACAAATAATGTCTTCATAACTAAACATAGAATTATATAATTTATTCCTTCTTAAACTAAACCAAGGCATAAATGTTTTCTTAAACTAAACTAAACAATTCTTTGCAAGAAAACAACTAGAATGATAGATGAACATTTTAAACAACATAAGCTGTTGTTTAAAATTGTGCATTAATAGAAGAATATTCTAAACCCGCCAGTTTATTAGAACAATAATATTTTAGATGATAGATTTAACTTGTTTTGTTTAACGATAATTTAAAAGTTCCTTCTCATGTATGTTATCTTATTTAACAAAGAATGTATTTACTTTAGCAACACATAAAAGCACTTTAATCAGGCTTGGTCGGGAAGCGGGAGCGATCGCTCTCGATTGCTGACCATGTAAATAATATTTAGTTGCGAAAAGCTGGCCAGATTTTTTAGTTGCTTTGAGAACATTTTAAAAAGCAAAAAAAGAATACTCTTTATTTCGCTTAATCAGCGTATTTTTTGAACCAATAGAATTAGTTTGTTTGTTAATTTGGCAGGTTTTTAGTGTTCGTGAATATTCTTTTTATTATTTTGCACAAAGATGTTTTGAGAACATTCAAGTCTTTTATGTTTCCATGTATGTCCGCAATACAAAAATATTTTGTTTCGTACATAAACTTAAATGTTCTCTAAACAACTAAACTACCTGGCCAGTTTTTCGCAACTAAATATAATTACTGTGGTCAGTATTCGAGAGCAATCGCTCCCGCTTCCCGACCAAGCCTGTTTAATGTGTCTAAAAAGAACTTTCAATATACTGCACTTTTTTTACTTTTACTCAAGTAATTTTGGTCTAACAGTACTTATTACATAAATTATTTCACTATTTTTAAAATGTTTCAATTGGTATACCTCAGGGATCCATATTAGGTCCTCTTCTCTTTATTATCTATAACAATGATCTCAATCTTTCTATCAAACATTCAAAAACGTATCATTTTGCTGATGATACTAATCTTCAATTAATAACAAACTCTCTCAAAAAACTTAATAAATATATTAATCAGGATATAGCCAGTCTTGTTCAATGGCTTAGAGCAAATAAAATCTCATTGAATACTAAAAAAATCAGAAATGATACTATTTAAGACTCGGAATACTAACTTTTCTAAAAAAACACCCTAAAATCAGGTCTCATCCTTAGGTTCAAGAATCTGTTCTTAAAATCACTCCATCATTTCTACTTAAAAGGTTACTCTTAACTTTACTTTTGAATTTTTTACTTTCTATCTTTTGACTTATTTTTATTATATATTTTAATTTTATTTTTAATAATTATTTTTATTATAACTTACTTATTTTATTATAATTCTTGTTTAAGTATATGTGCATATATAAATGTACATTATATTAATTGTTATATATATATATATATATATATATATATATATATATATATATATATATATATATATATATATATATATATATATATATATATATATATTAAAAAAACTGATTTTTTTGGTATAATTTAAAAAAATTTTATGCAATTTTACTTTTATTAGTTATTATTATGTTTATACTTATTTAACTTAACTTCCTTTTATAACCTACTTTTTTATGTGGTTTTACTTATTACATATTATTATTATTTTTTATTTTATTTAGGTCATTGCGCTTTATTAGTGAATCACTGTTTGCAATGACCTGTGTTTTTGTAACATCTGTAACACATGCCTACACAAATCCGGTTTGTAAAACTTATAAAGTAATAACAAATATATAAAAATAATACAAAAAATATTGTGTTATATTTGAACTAACTATGAAACAAAGTCATCTTGTGTAATTGAGAAATGTAACATTTCTCAAATATAAAATGCACAACAATTTCATATATTATTAAATGTGAAATTAAAGACTACTTTAAATATAAAAGTTATGTGTAAAACAGTAATATTAAATATGCTAATATAATTTTATATAAAGTACAAGAAACTTTAATAATGTAAATAATGAAAATTCTAGTGTTTGTTCAGCAGTAATATTAAAGATGCTTTTATAACTCTCAAAACTTACCATCGTAATCTTTTTATAATATAGTTTTTACCTTTAGCAACGATTCTGTGAAAAATCAATATAAAAAAATTGCAGCGTGGTCTGCTGGTAAATATTTGCGTAAATCGAACATATATAAAAGGCATATATATATGTTTTATATTAAGCAAGTTAAAATATATCCAGCTAACGAGAAACAATTTTTCGGACCTAGCGCTAGTCAAATTTTTCGTCCAATCAAAATAGGGATCTGATCTCAGGAAATAGCCGCTCTTTATGCCTAACATAAAATCTAAGACTATACGATTTAAATTTGACTTTGATTTTTAAATGCTGAACTTTATGTCTTATAAATAGAATAATTTTGCCCACAGATGACTGATGCCACGCCTGAATGTAAAAAGAAATGTAGACAGTACAGTGTTGATTATTTGAAGTTTGGCTTCATTCCATCATTGACGGACAAACAATTGCCTATGTGTCTAATATGCAACATAATTTTGGGCAATGCGCTATGCACTGTTCTCCAAATTGACCGCCAGATTGAAACTCTCCCCACTTTAAACTTTTTTGCATTTAATTAATCATATGCATTAGCAAACACAATTTAAGTTGTCAGAAAAATCTGAACTAAGTGCTAAGTATGTATATTTTTAAAGTTAAAACTTATAATTTTTTTCTTTTTTTTTTCGTAAGTTTAATTAAAGTCAGCCATTATGGTAGTCAAATAAGCTATTTATGGCAATGATATTATTGAATTACGGATATAACTTTCACTTTTCAACATGGCGTCAGACTTCAAATTATGTACTTGTGCAGTTTGCTTGATAAATAAAGGTATCAGATCAAAATCTTTAACACCTATAACACCTTCAGTGCGCGAAAAAATTCAAGAATACATCTGGCCAAACTTCGATTCTGATTTTGAAATTTGTCCTTCTGTAGTTTGTTCCAACTGCAGAAGAAACTTATTTAGTCTAAACAAAGGGGAGACTGCATATCTTTCCAACTGGTTAGAGACTATATCAAAGGTACTTTAATGTGGATGAATTGCTACTTTTTGTGTTTGTGTGGTTGTCTATATATATTATAAGTATACACACACACTCATATATATATATGTATATATATATATATATATATATATATATATATATATATATATATATATATATATATATATATATATATATATATATATATATATATATATATATATATATATATTTGTATGTATGTATATATATATTTATGTATATATATTTGTGTATATATATATATATATATATATATATATATATATATATATATTTGTATGTATGTATATATATATTTATGTATATATATTTGTGTATATATATATATATATATATATATATATATATATATATATATATATATATATATATATATATATATATATATATATATATATATATATAAAATAAAAATCATGTAGTTTTTATGAATAAATATATTAGCACTGATTTAATTTATAAAGCACATTTGTATTTTAGATAAATAGAAATACTATTAGGAGAACCTCTTCACTGCAATGTATCCAGACAGATGTTGAGCCAGAATTGAATTTTTCAAGTGTGAATAAGAAAATCTGTGGGCTCTGCTATTTGAATCTTGGTATGTTAATACTATGATTTTATAATTTAAATAAGATTAATTGAAGTTTGATTCTCTTTATGTTACATTATAGTTTGATTCAATGTATTATTGTTTTTTACGTAATTTCAAGCTACTGTTAAAATAGTTTTTTTAATTGCTCACTATTACTTTTAGGTAGAGGAATTTCTCATGATTGTTGCAAAAGTAAAGCTGTTAACAATATAATTGATATTAGTGAATCGCTTGGATATAAAGGTGCAGAGCAAGTAGCTTCTGGATTGTTAAAACGTAAAATGGAACGTGAAAACATTGTAAGTAGAGAGCAGTTCGTGTTGTCTACTGGTGGAAATCTTCTCTCTGTTACAGTTGGAGTAAATGAAAATAAGTCGAAAAGAAAGAAAGTAAATCAAGTTTCATTCCAAACTATTATGGAGTTATCGAATGTATTAGAACTCTCTAAAAACAAAACTAAAAAACTGTGTTCTACTTTACGCAGTAATCTAACTGGTGTAGAATCAAACATTAATATTAAAATGACTGAATTACAGGATACTCTAGAAACTTTATATGAATGTAAAACTGAAGAATTCCTTGACGGTGATGACATAGTTGTTAGAGATATAGTTTATGTCAAGAATACAACTGAATTTATCAAATTTATAATTGATGAAAGAGGTATTGATACCCCTAATGCAATAGCAAGAATAACTATAGATGGTGGTCAAAACTTCCTTAAAGTTATTATCAATGTTTTTGATCCAAAAAATCATTATTCTTTATCCGAAATGTATGAAGATTCTGGTGTGAAACGTTGTTTTATCCTTGCAATTGTGGAGATGATTTCAGAGGATAATGGCAATCTCCAAAAATTATTGGAACCTTTGAAACTCGAAGAAGTAGATTTTAGTTTAGCATTTGATTTAAAATGTGCAAACAGTATTTTTGGACTATTAAGTCATTCTGGCAAATATGCTTGTCTTTATTGTGAAGGAGAATGCTCCCTCAAAGCAGGGAAACTAAGAACATTGGGTTCCATAGATATGTTATGATCAATATGTATGTGAAGGAAAAAAAAGACTAAAAATGCAGGATTACAAAAATGTTATAAATCCTCGTTTAATATACTTAAAAGAAAATCAAGAAACAATTCTTGAACACATTGTTCCTCCTCCTGAGCTCCATATTATGATGGGAGTTGTGGATAAACTTTGTACTATGCTTTTATGCGTTTGGCCACCTTTTCAAAATTGGTTAAAAACACATTACATATTAATTAGAGGATACCATGGAGTAGGTTTAGATGGAAACAATGCTAATAAATTTATGTCCTTGTTAGATGTTTTGGAGAGGGATGTTACCTTAACTGCAACGATTGATATTTTACCAATAATTAATTGTTTGCGTAAGTTTTCATTAGTAAAATCAGCAGTGTTTGGTTTAGAAATGGGTGCAGATATTTCTGCTAAAATCGAAGACTTCAAATGTTCTTTTTCAAGTCTCCAATTATATGCAAAAGATATTTTTGACTATGATTTGAAAGTTTCCTGGAAAATACATATTTTAGTGTGTCATATTCTTCCCTTTATAGAACACAATAATATTAGCTTAGGAAACTATGCAGAACAATGTGATGAAGCTGTTCACCACAAATTTAAAAAAACTTGGGTGAACTATAAAAGAACTATAGGTCACAAAAATTATGGAAAAAAGCTAAAATCTGCTGTAGTTAATTTTAATTTAAATAATCAGTAGCATTAATATAATATGTGTTATATATTTATTTGTTATATGTGTTTTTTGTAAACGAAGTTAATAAATGTTGATAGTTTATTTTGACCACCATAATGGCTGACTTTAATCAAAAAGCGAAAAATTATAAGTTATAATTTTGAAAAATATGTACTTAGCACTTAGTTCAGATTTTTCTGACAACTTAAATTGTGTTTACTAATGCATATGATTAATTAAATGCAAAAAAATCAGGAGTGGAGAGAGTTTTAACCTGGCGGTCAATTCGGAAAACAGTGTATAAACAAGTATAAAAAAAAACTTGAACATACATGACAATAAAAGTTATTATTATTTTGTTTTTTATCACAAGATAAATTAAAATTATTCTAAGATATTTTTAATAGAAAAAATGAGGTCTTTTAATTTATTTTTAAAAACAGGATAAGTTAGGGGTAAGTCGAAGTTAGGCAAAATAATTTTGTTCCAGAAATGAGCTGCACGATAATTGATACAAAATTGATTGAATTTTGTTCGAGAGAATGGTTCATTTAAATAATTATTATTCCTCATGTTAAACTTGCTTAATGGTTCAAAATAATCAAAATAAAAATGTCTTTAAAAATTAAAGGAGATAAACCATGCTTCCACAAATAAACAAAAGATAAATTTTTAGATACGTTTAGTTTATATATATCGAGGATTTTCATTTGATTAAAAAAGGAATGTGCGAACCGATCCACAGAATTAATTAAACGGATCGCATGTTTCTGACGGCGATAGAGACATTGTAACTTGCTTTGATCAGTGCTACCCCAGGCAATAACTCCATAACTTATATAACTGTGGATAAAAGAGTAATAAAGTTTAGTATCAATTGCATGCTCAGTTGAGTTATTGTTTTTAAAGACAAAATTATTTTTATCTATATGAGTACGCGTTTTATATAGAATTCCGATTCTTTTTGAAACTTTCGAGCAAACATAGTTAATATGATGTTTCCATGAGACGTTCTCGTCAATTAAAACCCCCAGGTATTTAGTTACAGAATCTCTTTTAATTCCAATATGGTCAATAAGAAATTTTGGTAGATTTGGAGGTAGAAAACGTTTTTTGGAGAACGGGTGGAAAAAATCCATTTTGTTTTGGTTATATTTAATGTAAATTTGTTACTTTTAAACCATTTAGATATGTTTTGAAGTTTCTTTGTTCATAATGGAGAAAAGTAGATAGATGTCACTGTTAGAGAGAAATAAGTTTGTGTCATCAGCAAACGTAATACTCAGAAGATTTGATACTTTATGCAAGTCGTTGATATATATTAAAAAAAAAAGAGGGCCTAAGATGGAACCTTGCGGAACACCACAGGAAACATTTAAAAATTGTTTATAATTAAGTTCATTACAAGAAACAATTTGTTTTCTGTTTGATAAATAACTTTGAAACCAATTAATTACTTTTTCATTTGTTCCGTAAAAACTAAGTTTATAAAGCAAAATAGCATGATCGACAGTATCAAATGCTTTTGAAAGATCGAAAATGTCGACAAAACTGTTAAAACAGCTAGTTTGAAGTAAGTAGAAAGAAAATAAACTTGAGCAGCAATGGTGACTGAGTCGACGCAGCTGCATACCTCTCAAACATACATTGAGTCGACGCAGCTGCATACCTCTCAAACATACATTGAGTCGACACAGCTGCATACTTCTCAAACATACATTGAGTCGACACAGCTGCGTACCTCTCAAACATACATTGAGTCGACACAGCTACATACCTCTCAAACATACATTGATTTAATCCATGATAAAAGGTATATGATGTAAATATGGAGATATGATGTAAAACCTGATATCCGAAGCTCAAAAACAATAAAATAAAAATTGAAAAAAAATATTTAAAAAATCAAAATATATTTTAATTTTGAATTTTTGAACCATTAATTCATAAAAAAAGTCCAAATTAAAAAAAAAAAATGTTTCTATCATAAATGAAAATTTTTTTTGGTCTCAAAAAGAACAGCGGAGAATGAAACTAAGTTTAAATTTAAATTTTGTATTTTTTTAAAATAGGTTAAAACCTGTTCAAAAATACTAACAATCAAATCATAAATCAGTATTATAAAATTTATATTTGAAAATAGACTTAAGATATATAAAAAAGAACAATTAAATACACGTGTCAGGGAATTTCTTATTTACAATATATAACAATTTCGTGTACAACACAAGTCCAAAACATGTGTTTTAACAACACAAGCTGAAAAACATGTGTATCAAATTAAAATTTTCGTAAAAAAAATTATAAGAAAATAAGCTCTGTATAAAATACGTTTTGATTTATAACCAATTCAGTTTGATTCATAAACGATTTAATTTTCAACCGATTCGATTTGATTCATAATTAATTCGATTATAAAAAAGAAATTAAAAAGTGCGATTATGTAGTTGTGTGAATAGAATAACCACGTAAGAATTTTAAAAGAAAAATTTTCTGATTAGCTTCCTTATAGGCATAACCAAAACATTGAAAAATTGAGTAAAACCATATGTTTAAAAAACACTTTACAAAAACCTTATATAACAAATATAAAATAAGTTACAATATTTCATTTATCAAATAATCGAAAAATTGAACAATTCGAAAAATCATTTTCCAGATTTCCATTCAACTGTTGAAATTGATGGATGTAGAAAGAAAGGCTAATGAAAGTCATCAACGGACCCACGTTAGAGGTAACCATTGTGGCTGAGTTTCAAGACGATTAAGTGTTTCGACAAGCTCTGCGTACGTATGTTCGAATTCATTATTCACAATAACTTTGTCAAAATAATGTCCGTGCGTTCGACTTATGTCACGAGCTTTTTCTAAAATATCCGGAATTTCTTTATCCTAAAATGATACAATATAGATATATAGTGTGTCGTGTAAATATTTAAATATTAAACAATTATCTACAATATACACAATTATTTAATTATGTACAAAAAAAAATCATAAAATTTTTTAAAAACTCATAGAAAAAGGTTGCTTTTAGATAAATTTAAGAAAATATATATTCACTCACTTTTCTAACATCCCATCTAAAGCCTTAGTGTTATCAAATGAATGAAAAATAAAAGAGTAAAGCTTTGACAACGTTACTCTTTTTTACTTAAAAAGGTAGCTGATGGCCTATAACTGAATCTTACTTAACAAGGTAGCTAAGCGATGGCCTATAACTGAATCTTACTTAACAAGCTAGCTGAGCGATGGCCTATAACTGATTCTAGCTTTTTAAAGCCGTAAATTATAAAAAAATTTATTTTCAACCGTTAACTTTTGATTTCCTATTTACATCGAACTACTTCAACATGAGATTTTGATTAACTAAGTTTTTAACCTTATGTATTTTTCATTCAACTGTACATTTGAATAACTTAAATAACTACAACTATTCCGGTATGTATTTTGTATATTTTTTAAATTTAAAATAATAACAACTAAAAGTTGAGAAAGAGCTTTCTTAAAATTGCCTTTCTAAAGCAAAACTCTTCGTCAATTATGTACATTCTGTTACGCCCATGGAGCTAATTATACAAAAAAACAAACAGAGTAGTTGGTTGAAATGAAAATCGCCTGAAATCGGTTTAAAACCTGACATTAAGTAAATATGAAAAATTCTACCAGGTGTAGTAATTGCAAACCGGGTTTGGCTTATAGATGGCGTCTTTTCGAAAAGTACTCAATATAAATAATTTTTTTTTTACAGCTGTAATATTCCTCTACAAAAATTAGTTGTTAATTGAACGAGTCTCATACAACAACATTGTTTTTTATTACGTTAAAAATGTCAAATTTTGTACCAGAAAAGCATCATTTGCGGGAGGCTTTACTTTTTTGCTTTAATTTAAAGAAAACTGCTGCTGATGCTCGTCGAATGCTTGAGGAAGCTTATGGTGAATATATTCCATCAAAAACAACTGTGAAGACTGGTATAAACGATTTAAAAATGGTGATTTTGATGTGAAAGACATTGTCCAGGTCAAGAAAAAAAGTTTGAAGACAGCGATTTGCAAGAATTATTGGATGAAGACGATACACAAACTCAAAAAGAATTGGCAGAAGCATTAAATGTTCGTCAAAAAAACAATTTCCAATCGTTTAAAAGCAATGGGAAAGATCCAAACGCTGGGAAAATAGGTTCCACATGAATTAAACAAAAGACAGCAAGAAAGACGAAAAACCATTTGTGAAATGCTCATTCAAAAGCAAGAAAGAAATGATTTTTTGCATCGAATTATTACTGTAAATGAAAAATGGATATTTTTCGAAAATCCAAAACGCAAAAAATAATGGGTTTCACCAGGACAACAATCAACATCAACTACAAAAACAAATCGATTCGGAAAGAAGAGAATGCTGTGTGTTCGGTGGGATCAGAAGGGAATTGTGTACTATGAGCTACTGGAACCTGGTTAAACGGTTCATTCACAAATCATCAATTTGAACCATTCATTGATTAAAAATCGACCGGAATGGAAGAATAGACATGAAAAAGTGATTTTGCAACATGACAATGCTTGACCACACAAATCAAAAGATGTGAAAAATACATTAAATGCACTTGAATGGAAAGAATTACCACACCCGTCATATTCAACAGACTTTGCTCCATCCGATTACCATTTGTTTTCATCAATGTCATTAAAGCTTGCAAACCAGCACATCAATGAAGCTGAAGAAGTCAAAAAACAAACAATTTTATTGAGATGGAATTCGTAAGTTCCCTGAAAGATGGGAAAATTGTGTAGCTAACGATGGAAAATACTTTGAATAAACATCAATAACCATCAATAAATAATCTTTCACTAAAAAAAAGTGTTTTCTTTGATAGAAAAATCCCGGTTTTCAATTACTACACCTGGTAATCAGTTGAAAATGAAAATGAATAGTAAAAATAAGAAAGACTATGATAGATTAAAAACAATACAGAACTCAGTAGAACATTTGAAAGTAGTTTCAATTTTTTAGTAGATGTTTTCTTTGTAGGTCAAATTAGTAGGTTTAAGTTTTTGTACTCAAGCTGACCTACCAAGTAATACTTATTTAAGCTGATCTATCAAGGTACTTAATTAAGCTGACCTATCAAGGTACTTATCTAAAAATAAAATTTATATAGTCTTAAATGTTTCTTAAACTTTTTTTTTTACATCTGTTAATTGTGATTCAAATAGTATAAATACATATATAGAGAAATGAAAAATAAAGAAATATATAAAGAAATGAAAAAAACAAACAAAAAGAAATTCTAAATATAAATGAAGGTCCTGAATAAAAATCTTATTGATCTCATCACCAGAACAATAATTAAAATATATATACAATAATTAAAAGTTACTTTTTGTCCTATTGTAAAAAGTTAGGTGTGTTTTAAACAATGTTGTGAAACTGAACATGCTGAACAATTCTTCATAAAATGTACATTATGAAGAATTAATGTCCCGTGTGATTTTTTAAAAAAACTCAATAAAAGTGTTGAAAAGATAAATAAATAAAATAATTAAAGAATAAAGGTGGTCTTGATAAATAAAAGTGGTTATAGTAAATAAAGGTGGGTGTAGAAAATATTGATGTAATGGTGTATCAATATTACTTAGAAAAGTTTAGAACTTTATTATAAAGTTGCAATAGACGGGAAATAAAATAAATAAAAAAAAAAGACAGGAAATAAAATAATTAAAAATTTATATATCATAATAAACTGTATTTAATTATAAACACTTAAAATACTGATCGAAATATTTTGGAATTGCCTTTGAAACCTTATTAGGCATATTTAAATTTTAAATGGAATATTAAATTACTGCAATATATTTTCTTATATGAAAACTTAATATTCAAAATTGAGTTTCTTAATTTATAATGGTGGCAACATTATGTTGCCAGAATGAACCCTCCTTTATATGATGAAGTATAAAAAATGAAAAGTTAATAAAATCTTTTGTAGGCGAAAAATTCACTACATTTGAAAATTAAATACTGCAAAATGTCCCGAGAAGATTATGTAATGTCATAACAAAAGATTAGTCATACTTTTATTTTAAAAAGGTTGTACAAAAGTCAGCTAATCCTACCTGGGTTAGTAAAATTGTAAGTCACAATAGATATTGCACCTTTGGCAACCAGTTAAAGTAGACTAGGGGGAGTAGTCAACACTATGTAAGAAATTATTTGAAACTTATTGTACACAACAAAGGTCCATATTAGGCACTCGCAATTTTCAATTTCTCCATGTTAACGCTGGATCCCACATTACTCAAAAATTCAAAAATTGTCATAATGAAGCCATAATAACAATATTTTACCACTTTTTTCTTACACATTTACTTTAAACAAGACTGCAAGCAACCACTATTAGAGTTGCTAAGCAACCATTATTAGAGTTATAAGTTCCTGGAAGAGAAAAGATTAAATTTGCAGAGCAAGATAACAATTGACAGACGACTTAAAAGATAGCAAATTATATGAATCAGGAAAGCAAGATGAAGGAAGCGAATCCCAAATAACTGATGTTCAAGGATAAAAACTAGATGAATTAGAGTTTTTGGAGCACTTAAAAAATAATAGTAACAGAAAAAGGATGAGACTTAATTGAGTGACGAGTAACAAGAGAATGGATTTTAGTAGATGGCACAAGAGATGCTAATTATTTAGAGCAGTGCCCGTTATAGTATTTGTAGAAAAGAGAAAGAGAATCAACATTACAACGATGTGATAATGGTTGGAGGTTGGCTGCAAGAGCAGGTCCAACTATGCTTACAATGCGTTTTTGCACCTTGTCTAAAAGAGAAAGGACAACATAGGAAGATCCGCCCCAGATATGGCAACAGTAATCCATACAAGGACAGATTTGAGATTTTTTGAGATAAAGAATAGAATCCAGAGTAAGAAAGTGTCGAGTACGATAAAGATGCGAATTTAATAGACCCTAATTTCGCAATTAATTTGATATATGGTTTCTAAGAAATATCGAAAGTAGGCGTTAATCCTAGAAAATAAAAAAACCCTTTGTATTAACCAGACTTAGCTTTGCCTAATTTTAGGCTATTTAACATAAAAATCTTGATGACTATACTGACATCAAAAGTAAAAAAAAAATATAAAGCTACTTCTAAATATACCCAAAGAAGACTGTAAACAAAAGTTTTTTTATAAACAACACTCAAAATATTACATTCAGAAATCATTCTTTATCTAGAAATACTACAAAATAAATATTGTACGCCTGCATTTTAAATACACTTAAGATATACTAAATGATTTACTACTTTAAACATATTTAGCATTATTTTTTTTCTTTTAAAAAATGTAAATACTTGTTGTACATTAACTATGGTTTGATTTAAAAAAAAAATCTTATTGTCATTTAACAATTCCCAAAGATAAACCCAACACATTTTCCTAATAAATCTGAAAAGTTTTTAATCAAACTTATCTAATTTTAAACATATTTAAAAAATAAAACAAATTTGAAAACTCCTAGCGAAACAGCTAAATTTAAAAAATCCTGATCGCAGATGACCAAAAAACAATCAGAGAACCATATTCTGATGGTTATGATGATGATGATGATGATGATAATGATGGTAACAATGATGATGATGATGATGATGATGATGATAAGAAAAATCAGAGAATCATATTCTGATAATGATGATAGTAACAATAATAATGATGATGATGACCAGGTTTATCTATGGTAACGCCACGAAAAACATTTGTTAAAGCAACCTTTTTTGGTTTTGTAACAAAAAAAATTTGAAATGCAACCTACTGATTCGGTAAGTCAACACACAATTTTTTAAAAGTGTTTAAATTAGGTATTGTCACTACCGCAAAAAATAAACTTT